AGGCCGATAGGACAGAGTACCCTAGACTAGGCGGCTTTAATGGCAGAAATGTGTGGTCTGACAGTTCTGGAGGCTGGGAGTCCAAGATCAGGGTGTTGTCAGAGATGGTTCCTTCTGGGCTCTGAGGCTGGAATCGATCCCGGGCCTCTCCCCAGCTTCTGGTGGCTGCCGCAGTCCTTGGTGTCCCTTAGCTTGTAGAACCATCACCCCGACTCTGCCTCCATCTTCACGTGGGCTACTCCCCAGGGACATGTCTGTTTCCTCACCAGCCCTACTGGTTAGGGCCAACCTTAAGGACCTCATTGTAACTTGATTACTTTAAAAAAAATTGATTTCAGAGAGGAAGGGAGAAGGAGAAAGAGAAACATCAATGATGAGAGAGAATCATTGATCGGCTGCCTCCTGCCTACCCCCTAATGGGGATGGAGCCGGCAACTCAGGCCTGTGCCCTGACTGGGAATCCGAACCAGGACCTCCTGGTTCACAGGTCGATATTTAACCACTGAGCCACACCAGCTAGGCTTGATTACTTCTTTTAAATAAGGTCCCATCCTGAGTCCTGGGGGATAGGACTCGAGCATATCTTTCTTTGGGGGGGGGGGGAGGATAAAATTCAATCCAAAATAACCCCCTCTGAAGGTCCCAGGGATGGTCAGGCCTGGGTCTCCAAGGTGGCTCCCACATACCCACGCCTGGCCTCCCACCTAGGTGGGCACAAGGTGTCAGGTGAAAGGTGGGCACAAAGTCAGGCCAGGAAGGGAGGGAACGGGAGCCGCAGTGCCGAGCTCCTGAGCTGGGGCCGGTTCTGGGTGTGCATGGGGCTTCCTGGGCTTCCAGGGAGGAGCCCTCAGGAGCAGCAGGGCAGCCCTTGGGGAACACTTTGTCCCCCTGAAGCATTGGTGCCTCGCCAGTGTGGGCCAGACTTGGCCCAGGTTGCAGGGCACATGCCCCGTCTCCAGCTGCCCCCACTACCATCCTTTGTCACTCATCTTAGTTGATTTGGTAAATATTTGTTTGAGGACCTACTGCATGTCTAGGCGCCAGGAGACGGTCTCAGGAACTTCCATTCTCCTGGGGGTACAAACGCAATCCACGGCTACACAGGTAAAGTCACCTGGGAGAGACGTGCTGCAGGGACACGGCACTCACCATGTGCCAGGTGCGGCCCTAAGCGTTTCACATGAATGAAATCACCTTATCGCTTGGCTATCCTGTGAGGTGTCCCCGTTTTACCAAGAGGGAAACAGGACCTAGGAGGTTACAGGATGCCGGGGACCAGGTGGGCAGGCACAGACTCGGGGTGCTGTGATACAGGGCGCTGGAGGCCCGTCTGCGCCTCTGAGGGGTGCACATCTGAGCTGAGACCTGAGGGGTGTGGAGCTGGAGACACAGGCAAGGCCTTGTGGTGGGAACCGGTGGCGGGAGCATGCGGGGAGGGGGCAGGAGTCAGAGCACGTGTGGCCTCTGGGCCGTGGAACCGGAGCTGGTGCAGGGGTTTAAGCTGGGGAGCGATCTGTCCAGATTGCCTTTGACAAGACCCCTCTGTGGAGACAGCCCAGTGTCCGTCTTTGGATGATGGATAAACAGAAGGTGGTCCATCCAGCGGATATTACTCCGACATAAAGAGGAAGCTGACACGCTGCGACTTGGGTGAACTCGAAAACACAGCGCTGAGTGAGAGAAGTCAGCACAGGGCTGTGTGGTCCTATCGCTATGAAAAGGCCAGAACCGGCAGTACATAGAGACGGAGGGCGGGCTAGTGGTTGTTGGGCTGCGGGGAGGGGGAGACGAAGATTTTGCATAAGAGGCACAGAGTTTCTGTTCGGGGTGATGAAAAAGTTTTGGAAATAGATAATGATGTTGGTGGCACAGCATTGAGAATATAATTAATGTCACTGAATTGTGTGGTTAAAAGAGTGATTTTATGTTATGTGTGTGTGTGTGTGTATGTATGTGTGTGTATATATACATATATATATATCTCCATAATTTTTTTTAAAGTCCCCTCTGTCTGCTGGGGGAGCCTGGAGTGTGGGAGTAAGAGAGGCTGGGGTGCAGGAGGACAGAGGTCAGGGCCATCGGGGCAGACGGCGAGTGCAGGTCTGGAGGGGGCTGCCGAGGATGGATGGGCCTGCAATGTTCTGGAGGCGCAGACCCAGGACTTGCTCCTGAACTGCATGTGGGGAATGAAAGACAGAGGAGCCAAAGGACTTTGACGGAGGTTTTGGCCGAAGGACTGGAGAGGACGGTGGGACGGACCATGCACTGATTGATTTGGGGGCTCTGTTTTGGTCTGGTCAGGCTGAGGGTGTGGTGGAGACTCATGGAGGTGTAGTCCGTGAGGAGGGAGGCAGGGCTGGAGCTCGAATGTGGCAGTGGCCACAGTATAAACGGCTAAAGCCGTGAGGCTGGTTGGGATCCCTGAGAGCGGGTTAAGGACAAGGAAGAGGCCTGAGGACTCCCGCTGGGGCCCCAGAGTCCTGGGGTGCAGCCTAGAGGAGGGAGAGGAGCCACCCCCCTCAGGGATGCTCCCTGGGCCTGACTCATGCCATGCTGTGGACAGCACCCTCAGACGGGTCCCAGCTGAATAAAAATAAATAAATAAATGAATATTCTGTCAGCATTTATTTGCTCTTCCGCCCTGGCCCTGCCCCTGGACCCAGCCCCGCCCCCGGCCCGCCCCCGCTTAATCGGCAGTCCCTTGTCTTCAATCTCTCATCTCCACAGACAGCTGGTCCACCTGATCACTCTGACCCGCGGCCGGAGACAAAGTCCGGCCTTGTTTACGCAGACTGTTGTCCTTACCAGAACCCTGCAGACTCAGACTGCTTAGGGAACTGGGGTCAGGGAGGGGAAAGGTCAAGGTCAAGGTCACACAGCATGTAAATGGCCGTCAGGATCCAGACCCACATGGGTTAGCTGTCCTCAGTCCGGCCTCCCCAGCATTAACCAGCCGCTCACCAGTTCAACTGCTTCAGGGAGGGAGTGTCCATCAGCCTGGGTCAGTGCCCCTCCTGAGGCTGGGAGGTGGGGTGGGGTGAGAAATGAGGTGGTTAGGAATGCCCTTTCCCCAGGGTAACATTGTGAAATGAACAGAAAGTGTCACAGGCCAAGTCTGGTCAGGGTTGTGGGAGGAGACAGTTTTGGGCAGCAGAGGGGAGGTTTCCTGCTACGGGGCAGGGAGGGGGCAGAGAAAGAGCCGCTGTAGGCACGGGCACCGGGACTCAGGGCTGTTCCTGGGAAGTTGCTGTCCCATTTCACAGGAGAGGAGACTGAGGCCTGCCGGGGAAAAGCTGCAGCAGGTATGCGGGATCCTGGGCAGCGTTTCAGGCAGAGGAAACAGCCCAGCCAGGGCTGGGAGGGTTGCGGGGAGAAGCGGCTGGAGCACCGTAGGAACGGAAGGTTGGAGAACCTGGTGGCCCAGATCACCCCCAGCCTCGACCCTGGTGAGGAATGGAGACCCCAGCGGAGAGCAGAGGGATCTGCGTCATTAAATGATCCCTCAGCACTGAGTGGAGGGCAGGGGGAGGCCAGGACAAGGTCCGGTGCGTCAGGGTAGTGGCTTGTTTCCGGTGGTGGCCTCGAGGGCCAGAAGTGGGCGGATTGGTGAGACCCTTGGCAGGCAGAGCCCACAGGATTGCTGACGGAGTTCATGAAGGGGAGGGGAGAGGCAGATTCTTAGGTTTGGGTCTGAGATTCAAACAGATATTTGCCACTGTGTCGGGCCTGTGCTAGAAGCTGGGGGTGGGGATGAGCGAAACAACACACGGATCCCTGCCTGTGCAGGGGCCATTCCGTGCGAGCTTGGAGATCATTACTTGTGAACAAAGGCCCACAGGAGGTGAGGGAGGGGAGGGAGTGGCCATGTGGATAACGGGCGGGCAGAAGGTGGACGCCGAGGAAGGGAGGCCCTGGGCAGGGCTTGGTGAGGTGGAGGAATCGCAGGAGGCAGGGGTGGCGGCACAGAGAAGGGGTCCGAGACCCAGCCGGGTCAGTCAGCAGGCTTTCGTTTGGGGGAAACAGGAGCTGGGCTCTGCTGAGAGAGCCCAGACTGGAAGTAAGAGCCTGGGGAAGTACTGGGTGGTTGATGGTGTTGAGACCGTGGGGCAGGCTGGGATGACAGCGGGAGACGGAGCGGGGGTTCCTACGTCACAGGGCTGGTGAAAACATGGGTGCTGGCCCTCCCCAGAGAACGTGTTTCCAGCAAGTTCCTGGCCAGGCTGGCGCTGCTGGGCCCGGGCCACACGTGGCAAACTGGGTGTAGATACAGCAAAGGGCCGAGGGGGATGTGGGCAGGCAACCTGAAGAGCATCCACGGGAAACCAAGGCAGCCGGAGTGGGAAGGAGTGACTGCAAGGAGGAAATAAAGGGTCAGAACCGAACGCTGTGGGGGGGCCGCTATAGGGCCGGGCACACGACCCTCAACCCTTCCTGACCCTCCGGGCCCTGAAGGGGCTGCACTCCCCTCTCCCCACCTGTCTGTCTCCAACTAACCCTCCCCCCGCCCCCCGAGTCCCCTGGAAATAGTTGTCCCTGGCCCCCAATTTGTGGTCCCAGCAGCTACCAGAGTGAGAGAGACAGGAAGTAGGGGGCTGGGGGCGGGCCTGGATTCCTGCCCGTGATCCTGAGGGGGAGGCTGCACGTGGAGCCGGGATGCCTGGTCCCCAACCTGGATGCTCTGCTGGCTGAGGAAGCTTGGCTGGGGGACCGATGGGCAGGGTGGGATTTCAGAACGGGGAGGAGGCCTCCAGAGGGCCCCTTTCCCCAGGAAGTAGGGTCTGAGGCCTGTCTGGTGCCATCCCAACACCTGTCACCAAGGGGGCTGTTCTGTCTGCTGGGGTCAGGGTGAAAGCAGTGTGAGCCCCGGCAGCTTCTGGCCGGAGGATGCGGCTTCTGTCGGTGGAAGTGCTGGACGCGGACGGGCCCCTCACGGGCCTGCAAGCCCCTTCTCCACGGCCTGCGGAGGGATGGCCCCCCCTCACTCTCCCTGTCCTCCCCAGGCTGGTGGGCCAGGCTGTGGTGCCCGCCCGGTGATGCAGGGCAGGGACCCCTGCACAAGCCACTGAGAGCTCCGAAGACGTCCCCGGCCGCTGCCATGGCCCGCCTGGCCGCCGTGCTGTGGAGCCTCTGCATCACCGCCGTCCTGGTCACCTCGGCCACCCAAGGTAGGTGCTGCTGGGCCGCGCCTCCGCCGCACAGCCGGGAGAGCGGGTGGAGCACTGAAATACCTCCGGACGACTTGGTACAGCCCCTACCCCACCCGCACCTCAGGAACCAGGCCAGAGTGAGGCTTGGTGGTGACACACCGGCAGCAACACCGAGGGGGCCCTGGCCCCTCACCTCCAACACCCAGGGGTCCCAGAGCCTGGGAGACAGCCGGTGGCACCCTGGGACCGGGACCGGCCTTCCTGGTGATCTGAGGCTCGTGTGTGTGGTACCTGTGATTACATCTGGAAGAGGCTTCATTAAAGCATGCCCATTGACATGTATTTAAAAACAACTAATGACTCAGCTCGGCCCTGTGCCGGCCACGGGATCCTGTGCATGTCACCATTAGTGCCCCGAGCGTGCCCGTCCACCTCACCAGTTACTCAGCTCTGGTCCCCATGGCGGGCAAGGGCAGAGCAAGGAGGGAGGCAGGGAGAAGGGGCCTGCTGCCCTTGGCCTTGCTCTTGCCTGGGGCACACCCCCTGCCCACCCCTCCCAGCCCTGTCTGGAGGGCACTGGCAGGGGACACTGCCTCCCAGTGCCCCATCACATAGCCCCACCTTTAGAGAGCCATACACGGAGGGGCTTCGTTCAGCCATGCCCAGGGCCTTGGCATTGCTCTGGCCAGCTGGTAGCCTCTGCTTGCCCAGTGCCCATGTTCTCTGCCCATCTGGGTCCTGCCCCGTGGTCCCAGCTGGTACAGGAGGGGCTGCTTCCACCCCCTGGACCCATCTGAGCCAACCCTCCACCCCCGGCCTGCCTCCCAGACCCAAGAAGGGCTAAAATTAGCCATGGAAGCAGATGGTACTAGAGGAACACATGTAAAACTTCCCCCCAAGTGGGACAACTCCCCCCAGAAAACCCCAGGGCCTGGCTGCCATTCTCCATGGGTCCCCAGCCAACAGTGGAAGGACCCGATCTTTGGAAGGAGGCCTGCTTAGCTCTGCTGCCATTGTGCACTGGTGCCTTCTCTTCATCTGCAAATGACAGTGGCCCCCACACTGCAGCCTCTGGGCCACTCTGTGCATCCCCGCGTCCCTCCGGCACCAGCAAGACCTGGCTGGGACGTGTCTGGGAAGGTGGCTGCCTCAGCAGGCGTGGGCCCTGCCAAGCCCACTCTGTCCCGCAGAGACGGGCTGCCTTAATCATCCTAGTAGCAACAGTAATTAGCACCCTGTTGCCTCACTGCTGCATCCACTGCGCCCCTCCCTCAGCCTGGCTGTGTGAGGTGGGAGCTGTCAGCTCCCGAGGGAGGGGAACAGGCACAGAGGTGGTCAGTGACTGGACGAAGCCACCGGCCAGGGAGTGGTGGTGCTGGGATTGAAACCCATCAGCCCAAGCTCTCAGTCCCCACACGGCACAGGATGGGGACTGACATGTGACGATGCTGGGCCTGCTCACGGTGTGCTCTTTCGTTTTCACACACCTGGGAGGGTTTCCCAGGTGATAAAGAGGAGGACCCTTCTGGTGGCGCCCTCACCATTGACAGTACCGTGCTCAGCACTTCCTTCACAAACATTCCTAGCACAGAATCCTCACCGCGCAGCCCTGGGCTATGGTGCCCATTTTACAGATTGGGAAACTGAGGCCTGGGGAGGCTCTAGGGGTGGCTGTCCAAAGGAGCGTGCATCAGAATTGCTGGTGGATGCGTAGTTCCAAAGGCTCCTGGCTTTCCCCCGAGATCCTGATTCAGCAGGCCTGGGGGGAGGTGGCCATAGTTTGCATTCGGAACGACCAGCTGCCCTGTGGTTCTGGTGCTGCTGATCCCTGGGCTGCAGCACGAGAAGACCTGGGGCTCGGGACACGCCTGGCCTGTCTTCTGGGAGGTGCCGAAGTCAGACTCTATGGTTTCTTCCAGAATATGAGTTTCTACCCCGCCCCCATGCCTCTTCTCCTTGTGTGGGGTGGTGTGAATTTAGGGCAGCACCCAAGATCACCCTCACTTTGGACACTAACTGCAATCAGGGGTCCCTTAGACCAGCGGTCGCCAACCAGTGGTCCGCGGACCACTGGTGGTCTGTGAGGTCCGAAAGGTTGGTGACCGCTGCCTTAGACCATCCTCAAGTTTGATGGTTTGCCAGAAGAACTCAGAATTCAGAAATGCTGTTAAACTTCAGTTACAGTTTATCACGGTGAATTGATGCAGATTAAAATCACCCAGGAGAAGGGGGGCGTGGGGCAGCAGCCCTCAGGCAAGCTTCATGCACGGAGCTTGCAGTTGTCCCCTCTCCCTCTCGGAGTCGTGGGCAGTGTTAACTCTCCTGGCAATGCTGGGCGGCAGCACACCTGTGCATTGCCAGCCTGGGGAGTCCCCCGAGCCTTGGTATTCACCATCTTTACTGGGGCTCTGATCACCCACCTGGCTGACCTTAATCTCCAGTCCCTCCAGAGGTCAACTGATACTTCATGACCCAAAGCTCCCACCCAAACCACATTGTTAGGTTACTAGGTTGTTAGTGCTGCTGTAACAAAGTACCACAGATGGGCGCTTACACAACAGAAATTTATTTCCTCACAGTACTAGGGGCTGGAAGTCCAAAAATTAAGGCGTTGGCAGGGTTAGTTCCTTCTAAGGGCTGCAAGGGAAGGATTTGTTCCAGGCCCCTGTCCTTGGCTTGTAGATGGCCATCTCCTCCCTCTGTCCCCACATGGACCTCCCTCTGGTGTGTCTGTGTCCAAATTCCTTCTATTTTTATTGGATGAAATTCATGCACAGGTAGGGTCCCTAGGCCTGGCCTTCCTTCGTTCCTGTGCCGCCCCCTGGTGGTCAGCGCATGTCATAGCAAGCAATGGAACTCCCGTAGTGGTCTGCAAACTGCGGCTCACGAGCCACATGCGTGAGCCACTTGCGGCTCTTTGGCCTCTTGAGTGTGGCTCTTCCTAAGCCTTAGGAGGACCCTAATTAAGTTAATAACAATGTACCTACCTGTATAGTTTAAGTTTAAAAAAATTGGCTTTCAAAAGAAATTTCAATCGTTGTACTGTTGATATTTGGCTGCCGACCACTGCCCTAGGGGACACTTGGCATAGTAGGCTTTTATATATATAGATTAGTGCCCATCTTATTGCCTCCTTTTAACTTGGTTATCTCTGTAAAGACCCTGTCTCCAAATTTGGTTACATTCTGAGGTCCTATGGGTTAGGACTTCAGCATAGGAATTTGGGGGAGGGGGCACAATTCAACCCCTAACAGTTAGCACAGACGATCTGGCATGGCCCAAGGCCCCCAGGTGAACAGACACTCTTATCAGGCTGAACATTCAAAAGGCTTGGAGGGCCCTCCCAGGTCCTGAGGCAAAGGCCAAATTCTTTTTGAGCAGGTTAATGACTTGCAAAGCCCATTTTACAGATGAATAAAGCTGTGCCTGTGTCCCAGGTCCAGCTAAGCTGGAGATGGCACCTCCTCTGCGGGTCTTCACTGCCTTCCCTGTGCCCTGAGCATGATGTGCCCCCTCCCACAGGCCTGAGCCGGGCTGGACTCCCATTCGGGCTGATGCGCCGGGAGCTGGCATGCGAAGGCTACCCCATCGAGCTGCGGTGCCCAGGCAGTGATGTCATCATGGTGGAAAACGCCAATTACGGACGCACAGATGACAAGATCTGCGACGCTGACCCTTTCCAGATGGAGAACGTGCAGTGCTACCTGCCGGATGCCTTCAAGATCATGTCGCAGAGGTGAGGGCCCCACCGGGCTCTCAGAGGCAGGGTGGCGGCAGTTCCCGGAGTCCCTGAATCCAGTGCCTGTCCTCCGTGCACCCCGGGACAGTGCACCCTGTTCACCCTCCGTCTTCCTTTATGATTTCCACACACGTTTACCGAGCACCTTCCGGGTGCCATGTGAACAGCCCCCCCCCCCCCCCTCAGCTTGTCTCCCCTACACTCATGAGCCTGATGCCTCCAGAAGCTCACACCAAGATTATAGGGAGGCGGTGAGGGCTTGCAATGTAAAAGCAATGGCAGGACAGGGTGAAGGTGTTCTGGGAGCTGAGGCAGAACCCAGAGCCTGGTCCGGCTTCCCTGAGGAGGTGGCATCTGAATACAGATAAGTGCATGTGAGAGAGAGAATGTGAGTGCCCGTGTGCAACTGTGAGAGGGGGGTATGCCAGGCAGAGCACTGAGTGTTCAAAGCTGCAGAAACCTCTCACACCCATAGCCAGTGCACCTCCAGCTGCTCAGTGCTTCTTTCAAATTAGACTGATTTGACCACTGTTTCCAGGTCCATGCCCCGCCCCTTACCTGCTCCCTCCACAGCAGCCAGAGGGCGTCTGTGAGCACCTGAATCTGGAAACATCCCTGTTCTGCTCATAATCCTACCTCATTCCCGGCTCACAAAAGCCCAAGCCTTCCCTCTGCCTGCAAGGCCCTGCTCACTCTGCCCTTTCCTCTCCAGCCCTCACCTCCTGCGCGCTCCCCCTCTCACCCACCTGCTCCTCACACCTCGGGCATCTTCCCCGAGGGCTCCTGTGGGCCTCCTCATCGGCTGTTCGCCGCTGGGCTCCTCCTCCCTCCTCCCGCTCACTCAGGGGATTTCCACCTACCTATCCTCCTCCAGGGCTGCCCGACCACCCTCTGAAACCACAGCTCCCACTTCTCTGCTTTGTTTCTCTCCCACCCGGACTTCCATCTGCAGTCCCATCAGATATTTTGCCTCTTTATGTGGTTTCTGTCTTCCCTCACTGGGCTGTCAGCCCCACAGGGACAGGGAACTGTATCACTGCTGTGTCCGCAGCAGCAGGCACTCACTGAATTTTTTCCGAATGCCTGTGAGAATGCAGGATTCACTCCGAGCCCAGGGCATAGAACTGGAAAAGGGAAGGAGGGCTAGGGCCAGCAGCTCCTTGAATGCTGGCAGAGGGTTCTAGAATATGTCATTGGGCAGGGGCCCTGAGAGTTTGGGGCACACAGGACAGGTGTGGGCAGATGGTTCAGCCTGGTTGGCCAGGCTGGAGCTGCCTCATCCCCTCCCTCGCACCTTTTCTCTCCCCAGCACCCACCCCCCTCTAATAATCTTGCCTCCTTTTCCCCTCCCAGTCTCCCCTGCATGGGTGGTGACGGTCCAGCCTCCCAGTCTTCGCTTGGGCAGTGCCCCCTTCTCCTTGGAACCTTTCTCCCTCCCTCCTGCTCTCCAGATTCTGCCTGAGGGTTCATTCAGCACTGGCACCGGGGTTGGTGGCGTCTCCCAGCACCCAGCACAGCGACTGGCCCAGTGCCAATGGGTTGTCAGGTCCAGAGGGGGGAACACCGAGCAGGATGGCCACCGGGGCTGCGAGTGTCCTGAGGCCGCTGCTCCACTGTCTTAAAACCTGGAGGTGTGCCCTAGCCGGTTTGGCTCAGTGGATAGAGTATCGGCCTGCGGACTGAAAGGTCCCGGGTTCGATTCAGGTCCAGGGCACATGCCCAGGTTTCAGGCTCGATCCCCAGTAGGGGGCGTCCGGGAAGCAGCCAATCAATGATTCTCTCGTCATTGATGTTTCTATCTCTCTTTCCCTCTCCTTCCCTCTCTGAAATCAATAAAAATATATATATATTTTAAAAATCTGGAGGTGCTTTTTAAAAATTTTTATTTTATTTTATTTTAATCCTCACCCAAGGATATCTTTCCATTGATTTTTAGAGAGAGTGGGGGAGAGAGGCAGACAGAAGTATCGATGTGAGAGAAACACATGGATTGGTTGCCTCCTGCACATGCCCCAACCAGGGCTCAGGCTGGGGAGGAGCCTGCAACCTATGTACATGCCCTTGACCAAAATCGAATCTGGGACCCTTCAGTCTACAGGCCAATGCTCTGTCCACTGACCCAGACTGGCTAGGGCAACCTGGAGGTGCTTTGTATCAGTTAGGGTACAGCTCACTGCTCTGACAGAGACACCCCAGAATAAACACAGTGAGGAGCTGACGAGACCATCAGCACCCGCTTCCCTGTTTGGTGCCTCCTGCATCCATCTCATCCCCCCTCGCTGGAAGGCCAGCGGCTTTCCCTTTTCTTCTCTATATGGAAGTGAAATTCACATAACATAAAAATCACTATTGAAGTGAAATATTCAGTGGCATTTAGTATGTTTACAAGTTGTGCAACCACCATCCCTACCTAGTTCCAGAACATTTTCATCACCCCAGGAGGAAACCCCGTACCCATTAGCGGCCACTCTCCATCCCCCTCCTCCTGGCAGCTGATCTCCTCTCTGTCTCTGGATCTGCCAATTCCGGACGTTTCGTGCATGTGGAGTCGTGAGGCGTGGCCTTTTGTGCCGGGCTTCTCTCATGCAGCATCTTCTGAAGTTCATACACATTGTGGCCTGTCAGCGCTTCAGTCCTTTTTATGGCTGAGGACTATTTTGTTGTAAAGATGGACCACATTTTGTTCATCCATTCGGGTATGATATTTGGGTTGTTTAAGCACTTGCTTTCGGTTCTTTTGGGAATATAACAAGGGATGGAGTTTCTGGGCCATAGGTAACTCTCCTTAACCTTCTGAGGCCAATGTGCTGTTTTTATTTATTGTGGAAAGTGTTTCAGATGTCCCCCTTTTATCCATTGACCCTCCCCCCAGGCCTTCACTACACTATTGTCTAAAAATATGGAACGCCTCGTGAATTTGCATGTCAGCCTTGCACAGGGGCCGTGCTCATCTCTGTACCGTACAATTTTAGTATATGTGCTGCTAAAGCGAGCACCAGTGTCTGTTTTTCTTGTTGTTGTTGTTTTTAATATATTTTTATTGATTTCAGAGAGGGAGGGAGAAAGAAACATCATTGATGAAGAGAATCATGGATCGGCTGCCTCCTGCACGCCCCCTAGTGGGGATCGAGCCTGCGACCCAGGCATGTGCCCTCGACTGGAATCGAACCCGGGACCCCTCTGTCCCCAGGCCGACGCTCTATCCACAGAGCCAAACCGGCCAGGGCACCAGTGTCTGTTTTTATTTATTTATTTATTAATATATTTTTATTGATTTCAGAGAGGAAGGGTGAGGGAAAGAGAGACAGACAGAAACATCAATGATGAGAGAGAAGGATTGATTGGCTGCCTCCTGCATGCCCCACACTAGCGATCAAGCCTTCAACCTGGGCATGTGCCTCGACCGGGAATAGAACCGTGACCTCCTGGTTCATAGGTCAATGTTCTACCACTGAGCCACGCTGGCCAGGCCAATGTTCTGTGTGTTTTTTCTTCTTTTTCTTTTTTTACTCCACCCCACCCCCTGCCGCTCAAGGCCCGCTACCACTGTGCGCCTGGCCCCAATGTTCTATTTTTAAAGAAGGGTTTTGAGGGGGTGGGTATGAGCAGATCCTCATTAGTTAAGGGCAGGACTGAAGAGAGAAGACACAGGCGCCCCCCTGCCCCATATCTGTCAGGGAGTCCCCCAAAACTGCTTCCTGTGCACCCACGATCAGGTCAATGTCCTGCGGGCTGAGACCTGGGCTGCTCCAGGACACAGAGACCCTGACTGGGGACAGACAGCAGAGAAACATCTTTCATTATTACTTTTTAATATGTTTTTATTAATTTCAGAGAGGAAGGTGAGAGGGAGAGAGAGAGAAACATCAGTGATGAGAGAGAATCACTGAACTCTTCCGTGAACAAAGGAGGGGCTTCACAGTCAACTGAGGGAAAATGCCAAGGATGCCATAGCACCAGTGCTGGATGGAAGCCATGAGGGGTGGCTCGGCAAGCAGTTTATAGGGCCCTGCCCCGGTCCCAGCCCTGCGCTTCCTGCCATGCTGGGGTGGAGAGTAGAAGAAACCCTATCTAGTGGAAGAGAGAGCTGGCAGGAAGCGGAAAACAATATCCACGAAAGGCTTTGGTCTCCATGGTTCCTTCCAAATTTGGGGGTACCCATTCTTCTCCTTGCCCTGGAGCCCCCAGTTCTAGGCCTGTCTTCCCATCTCCGTCTTTCCTCCACAGGTGTAATAACCGCACCCAGTGCGTGGTGGTTGCCGGCTCCGACGCCTTTCCTGACCCCTGTCCTGGGACCTACAAGTACCTGGAGGTGCAGTACGACTGTGTCCCCTACAGTGAGTCCTCTTGTTCCTCATGCGAACCGGGCCCTTCCCCTACCCAGAGTGAGCGAGGAGGAGACACCTTGACTCGCCACACACACGCACATGCACGCGCACGCACGCACGCACGCACGCACGCACAAGGGGCCAAGTTGGGGCCAGGTGCGTGGGGGACAGTTGGGCCTGTTCCCTCCCTCCCACACTCCCTTTTTCTAGTCACCCTTGTCCACGCCCTAGCTCCCCCGCCCCCGCCTTTTCCCCAGCCACCACCAAAAACTGTCCTTTCCTCAGGGCCCCTTCTCCAGCCCTTGTCACCCTGGCCCCCTGGCCCTGCTGCTTCAGGTGCCCGGGCTCCTTTACACATTCCTAGGCCACACCCCACTCTGCTTGGCACACTTACATCTCTCCCTCAACCCCACTGCCTTGTCATCCCTCTGCCCCCCTCTTCTCTCATCCCTCCCCTTCCTGGCCCCCCCTTCCCCCACCACACACACACCTGCCCTTCCCTCTCACTCACCACACTTCTCTCTGAGCTCCCTCTCCTTCCTCTTCACCCCTCGCTGCCCCCTCCTGCCCTTTCCCCGTCCTGGAAGCTGGACTTTATGTCCACGGAGAGACAGACCACTGCTGAGGCCTCGTGTTGGGTTCGGTGTGAAGGGCTGGGGCGTCTTGTCTTCCACGGAGTCCCATCTCCTGGTCGGTTTGCCCATCACCAGAATAGCACTTCCTGTTTGCCAGGGAAGTGCCGCCATGGTGCACGGAGGGAGGCTCCCAGGCGGACCTGGGGAGCCAGAGGCCTGGCTTTCTTACACCTGGTGAAGGGCAGCTGACAAAGACAGGGTCTCTCCTCCTCAGCACCCACCTTAGCATCCTCCTCCTCACTCCCTCCACCTCCCCTTTCCTTCCCCAACCCCCAGCTTCACTGAGCCAGGAGGTAGGCTCCAGGCAGAGGGGGGCGGAGGCAGGGCCACCAGAGTGTGTGCGTGTGGGGGGCAGGGGTGTGTGGGGGGCAGGGATGGGGAACGGGGGGCCCTGTGACTCTCCCGCCTCTCCCCCTCCCACTCCAGCCTTCTCCCCAACCTTTGATTTCTCCTCGCAGGTGATGATCTACACTGGGAACAGCATCGCTTATGTGCTTCCATCACTTTCTGCTTTTACTCCTCACCCTTTCCTTTCAGCGACCAGGCCTCCAGCCACCGCCCGAGGGGGACGCCTGACTGATCCCTGAAGCGTTCCCACAGCACTGGGGACACTGCCCGCCCCGGGGCTGGGGGCAGGGAAGGAAGGCAGGAGGTGGGGAGCTTAGCACACAGGAAATCGGGCTGGTCCGAAGCTTGGCCAGGCTCTTGAATTTTTCTGGCTCTGAAACTTGAGCAAGTGACTTCGTTTCTCTGGGCCGCCATCAGGGGCGGGGAGAGCGAAGCAGCCGGCCCAGGGCCCGCCTCAGAGCCTGCTCCCAGGGGCAGAGGCGAATCCTCACCGCCCAGTGCCCAGGCCCACGCCTGGCTCAGGATGTGCTCAGTAGTGGTCCGAGTGCCCTTTCCAGCCGGCTGACCCTGAATACTCATCTGTGATGGGGGAAGGGACCAAACCCCTCCTGAGACACTGCAGGAAGAGGGAACATGGACAAAGCTCGGGCCCTGAGTCACAGATGTGCAGGAAGTGATACCCGCTTTTGCCAGCGTGTGGCCTCATCCTTGTTGCTTCCCCTCACCGAGCCTCAGTTTCCCCATCTATAGACCGGGTTCTCAAAAGACTGCCCAGGAAGTGCCTAGCACAGTCCCTGGCACCAAGTGAGTGCTGGGCACTTGGTAGTCATTGTTTCCGCTGTAACTACCAGTTATTGTTATTGCTGTTGGTGATCAGAATGAACCCAACAACTGATGATGCACCCAGCTCCTCCTGAGGCAGATGGGATGCAGGGCAGAGAAAAACCCCTTGGTCCAAGTGGAGTCCAAAGTGGATGCCACACAGGTAGAGAAGCAGGAGGAAAGCTTAGAGGGCCTTGGGAGGAAAGGGGTGGGGAGACCTCCTGGAGCAGACCCCCAGGTGGGCAGGAGCATGACCCACAAAGGCCAGGAGGTAGGCAGGTCAGCCCAGGGGATGGGCGGCCCCCAGGCTGATGGGAGAGAGCTAGCCTGAACTCGGGGGGAGATAGGACACACACAGTGGTTGTGGGGGGGGGGCGGGGGGGCCACCTGTGTCCTAGGCATGCAGACTCGTTAGCTCCTGGTCCCAGAGGAAGGGGGCTGGGTTAACAGGAGGATTGAAGCCAGACAGGGAGGCCGGACACTCGTCCCCAAACGTTTGCTGAGCACCTCCTGTGTTCCAGGCCCTGGGTGAGGCGCTGGGTGAGGGATGCAGCCATCCCTCCCCTGTGGAACTCCCTGCTTCTCCAGAGAGGAGCTAGGAGAGCCAGGCCCTGGCAGAGGTTCCTGAGGGGCCAGGGCACCGAGCCTGAGGCTTCAGAGGCTGGGGTGATCCCAGTGCTGGTGCAGGCCGGCGGGGGGTGGGAGGGGAGTGTGGGGGCTACCGTGGGGCTGGGGCAGTGGGTGTGTGGGGTCCCCGCCAGACACACATTGGACAGGCACGACTAACACTGGATTTGCCTTGCAGCTGTGCACAGTCTAACCATGCCCCTTCCTCCCCCAGGTACCGCCGGCCCACCAGGCAGCGGGTGGCGTGGAGCTCCTGGCTCCGGGGCCCCCAGGGGGGTTGTTGGGCAGAGAAACTGAGTCTCGGGGGAGCGTGTCTGTGCCACCTGCTGTCCTGCCCTGTGTGATGTCTCCCCACCCCAGCCTCTTCCCTCTCTACCTCTGTCTCCCACCCCAGCTCTCTGAGGCCCAAGGGGGCTCTGCTTGTCTGCCTCTCCGTCATTCTGTGTCCAACTCTGCCACCCTCTCTGTGTTGGCTCTTTCTGGGTGGTGAGGGTTGGGGGGGACCCAGCTGCTCCCAGGTGGGGCCAGCACAGACTGGAAGGAGTTTAGCCTGTTCTCTCAGTTCCGGGCACCCAGGCCCGGGAGGAACCGGGCTTCCTTCCCTGGGCCCCTGGTTCTGGCAGGAGGGCAGCAGACAGGGCGAGGGGGGACCAGAGTGTCCCCCCACTCCCTCCCCGGTGCCCCCCTAACCAGAGCCTGCCTCCCAGCTGGACTCCCCCCTCCCATGAGGGTGCCCACGCACATCTGAAGGCATGGTCCTCCTGCCTACCTGTCTTCCCCTCCCCCGTGTCTCTCTCGTTCTCTGTCCTGCGTGTTTTCCCCTCCCTGTGGTTGTCTCCCTCATGACCTCTTGCCCCAACCCTACCCCAGAGGAAGGGACTTGGGGGGTGGGGGCTGAGCTGATGCAACATTTGGGGTTGGGGAACCAGGAGTAAGGAAAGAAAGGAAAAGGGGACATGTTGCCAAAAAAGAAACAAAAGCAATTTAATCTCTTTTTTTTTCTCTTTTTTCTTGCACATTTTTTTTTCAATTTGTTTTCTCTCTCTCTTCCGATGCTTAAAGTAGAAGTGGAGCAGAAAGGTAAACGCACTGTTACCAATGCTAACCCCTAACTCACACTTTGTTTTACCTGTACCATACTTATGTGACCGCCCTCCCCTCCTGGCCCCTTCTTCTCCCACCCCCACTGGGTCCAGTTGATAGCTCCCGCCCCAGGTGTCCTCCCAGTGGGGCCAGCCCTGGCCCAGCCATGGGTGACTCCACCCTCCAGACACCCGAGGAAGCTCCTCTGAGTACGCGGGCAGGACCTTCCTCTCTCTCTCTCTCTCTCTCTCTCTCTCTCTCTCTCTCTCTCTCTCTCTCCCTCTTTGCCTCTCTGTCTTTCCCTGTCCCTCCTTCCTAGTTCCTGGCCCTTGCTAGGGGACCTGGCCTTCTCTCATACTTCTTTTGCTCCTTCAGGAGAAGTTTGTAAGCATCCTGGGTGGGTGGGGACTCCCTTTCCTGGTTCCAGACTGGGGGCGGGGTAGGGGGGCACCAGGTGAACCGTCTCTTCTCTTCCTGCCCCAACTTTGGTAACTTATGCCCTGTTGGGGGAGGCGGGATGGAGGGGACACCTTTGTTTTCCTTTTGGAGAGCAGATTCATCCTGTCCCTCAGGCTCCTGGTGGCTTAAGTTCCTTCTGGTTTGGTGTTTCCAAGGCCCAGAGCTGTTTTGGAGCACAGAGCACAAGTCTCCCCCACCCCTATCCCCCAACCTCGGCCAGTTGGGGGCCCACCCCTGGGGAGGGGTATGAACTGTCCTCAACCCTGGGAGGGCAGCCTGTCAAATGTGGGGGTAAGGGGGTGGGGGTGGGCCTGGTGGGGGGGGGATCGAGGGATGGGGGAGCATTTTTCTCTGGTTCTGAAACACTTGCGAAGCTGCAGTCAGGGTTTCTTCTGGGCTGTTGTGGTTAGAGGACCAGGGAGAGGGGGCGGGGACAGGATAGGCCAGGGACTTCCAGGAGCACCGTAATTTCTTGCCGGGGTTTAACCTCAGCTGGGGGAGCAGGAGAACTCTGTGGTGGAGAGGGCTGTCTGTCACGGAGGGGAGGGCAGGAGTTGGGGATGGTTGCTTTCTCCCCTGAAAGTTTTGGGGAACTGACAGCTCTGAGGCTGGCAGCAGGGGAGGGGCTGGGTGAGATGCCTTTCCGTAGAGCTTTTGTCGTGAAATTACGGTGGTCTGTGGAGCCTCCCATTCGAGGCGGGTGGAGTGGGTCCCTCCAAGCTGCTCCACTTCCCGCTGTCTCCCTCCCCCATCTCAGAGAGGCCCGGGCAGCCAGCCCATGGTCTGCCCCAAACACCCTGCCACTCCGAGTCTCTTTCCGGGAGTCTCTCCCACCCAGCACCAGACACTCTTCTTGCAGGTCCGGTGGTGGTTTGGATATGCAGCCCTGGATCTTTTCTCTTCAAGAGGCGGGGAGGGAAAAGGAGGTGTTGGGAGCTTGGTGCTAGGGAGGGGTCCTTGCTGGCAAAGGCCCCAGGCCCTTTCTCATCTTCTCCCCCTTCCCCAGGGTAACCTCTAACCACACTTTCCTCCTCCACACCCTTCTGACCAGGTCATGTTCTGAGACCTCCCACCGCCCCCCTCACACACACAGCTGGCAGGAGCCCCCCTGGCTTGGGGAGAGGGGAGACCTTGGCACAGAGGAAACTGGTGGAGGGACAGGCCCACACCTCAGGGCACCAGGGACAGGGAGATAGTGAAGCCCCAGGGCCCAAGCCAGGATCCTCTGGTCCCTGCCCACCTCTGTGCCCTGGGTGCCCCTTCTCCTAAAACAGGGCATGCTCCTGGCTGCTTTGTGCCTGGGGAGCCTTGGGCTGCCTCCCAAGCCAGGACCAGGTCCCAGCCCTTCCTGTCTCCCTTGGGGCCATCTGCTTTGGTGACAAGCCAAGCAGAAGCAGAGAATTCACTGCAAGCCCTCACTCTGGCCAGTCTGTGGGTTCTGCTAGCAGGGAGTTGAGAGGGAGGCCCAGCCATCCTGGATGGAGGGGCCTCTGACTGTCATCACGCTGGGAGGAGGAGGGGAGTCTGGCCATGCTGACCATGAGAGTCCAGATCGCCACTGGGTCAGCAGGGGAGCCTAGGAGTAGGTAGCCCTGGGACATGATGGGGTAGGGTGGGCAGGCCAGTGGGGGCCAACGAGATGCAGTTGAGGTTTTCCTCCTTTTCAGGGAATGGGGGGGTGGGGCGGGGCCCCCCACCTTTCTGACATCAACGCTGCCTTGGTCCCTCCTCCCGAGCCGGGGATGGTTGCAGGTAAATCTGGGTCCGGGGCAGGGGAGGTGGGGGGGGGGGGCCTGGCTGGGGTGGGCTGGGTCTTTATCCTAGCACTTGGTTCCCTCCCTTGCCCACTCTGAGCTGGACCTGGGAGTGCCCCCCTGAGGGACCCTCAGTCGGGCCTGGGCCTTGGAGTGAATTCTCTGCTCACCCCCTCTCTCCTCTGCCAGCACTAACCTTTCTTCCCAGGTGGTCTCCAGCGTGCCTCCCTTGGAGCCAGGACCTCTGCTGAGGGCCCTACCTTGTCTCTCTTCCCTCCACACAGCTTTCCTTCCCCCCTCCCCAACTCTCCTGGGGAGTCCCCTCCCTCCCCATGTCCCACCCCCATCCCTGTGCACCAGTGTCAGTGTCTGCTGCTGAACAAACCCCATGAGAGACCCTGCCGGCTGGGGGCAGGGCTGGGCATCGTAGGGGAGCGGCTGGACTTTTCCAAAAACCCTTCCTGATTGTGTGGGTCCTGGGGGAGGGCACAGGCTGCATCAGGAACCTTGGGTGCTTCCCCTTCCCTGGAATGGGGGGATGCTCCTGACACCCACAGTGGGTACAGAAACATCACTACCTTGCAATTTTTGCAGGAGGAAGAAAGGGGAGTAAAAAAAAAAATCTTTCCTTGTATGGGTGAAGGATGGGACCCTCCACTCTAGCTCTTCCTTGGGAGGTGGAGATGATGGCCAAGAGGCAGGGCACTGAGTCCCTGGAACTTGAAAGCTGCCAGGCAGCAGCTGCAGTGAGGTCTTTCCGCCATGCTTAAGGCACACGAGAAAGTCTCTGGGAGGGCTCTTGCCAAACCCCTTATCCCCAGCCTGTGGGGTCTCTAGCAGCCAGAAAAAGAAAGAGGGGTACCACCTTCTCCCACTAACCCTGCTCTTAATGGCCTCCAGGGTTGACATCTCCAGGGAGAGGGGCAGCTGGGCGGGCAGGGATCCCAGCCCGGAAACCCCCTTCCCATCACCAGCCCTACCAAGCAACCGTGACTGCAGCAGCAGGAGGGGACAGTCTGGCTTCCCCCTGGCCTTGTGACCAACTGCCTCTCTTTCCCCTTTCTCTCTCCTCCCCTCCCTCATCCCTGCACCTCCTCTCCTGTGTCCTCTCCTCCCACCCACCCTGCCCAGTCTTCGTGTGCCCAGGGACCCTGCAGAAGGTGCTGGAGCCCACCTCCACGCACGAGTCGGAGCACCAGTCTGGTGCGTGGTGCAAGGATCCACTGCAGGCGGGGGACCGCATCTACGTCATGCCCTGGATCCCCTACCGCACGGACACGTTGACCGAGTATGCCTCCTGGGAGGACTACGTGGCAGCGCGCCACACCACCACCTACCGCCTGCCCAACCGCGTAGATGGCACCGGCTTTGTGGTCTACGACGGCGCTGTCTTCTACAACAAGGAGCGCACACGCAACATTGTCAAATACGACCTGCGCACACGCATCAAGAGCGGGGAGACAGTCATCAACACTGCCAACTACCATGACACCTCGCCCTACCGCTGGGGAGGCAAGACTGACATCGATCTGGCCGTGGACGAGAATGGGCTGTGGGTCATCTATGCCACTGAGGGCAACAACGGGCGGCTGGTGGTGAGCCAGCTCAACCCCTATACGCTGCGCTTCGAGGGCACGTGGGAAACAGGATACGACAAGCGCTCGGCGTCCAACGCCTTCATGGTGTGCGGTGTCCTCTACGTGCTGCGCTCGGTCTATGTGGATGACGACAGTGAGGCAGCTGGCAACCGCGTGGACTATGCCTTCAACACCAACGCTAACCGCGAGGAGCCGGTCAGCCTGGCCTTCCCCAACCCCTACCAGTTCGTCTCCTCTGTGGACTACAACCCGCGTGACAACCAGCTCTACGTCTGGAACAACTACTTCGTGGTGCGCTATAGCCTGGAGTTTGGGCCTCCGGACCCCAGTGCCGGTGAGGATGGCTCCCGTTCACTGCCCCAGGCCTCACCCCCAGTCCCAGGGTGGGGGGCACACTTGGAGTTCTTAGGGACCTGGAGGTGGGTTGGGGGAGACCTTGAATGGAGTTACACAGCTCATGTTCTAAGCATTTAATTCATCTAATAACCCTCGTAGTCACAGGGATTGTCACTACCCCGTTTACAGATGAGGAAACTAAGCCCTGGGGGTTGGGGGTTAGTTTATGTACTTCGAGGATTTGGACTCAGAACTCTGGGCACCTAACCCCCGAATGCACTGCTTCTCCCAGTGGCCTGTGCACTTTTAGCCATGGAACCCTTATCAACCAAAATCTTGAGTGGAAGCCCAGAGACAGAACGAGGCTGAGCTGCTGCTGCTGTTGATGGGGTGGGGCCTCTCTGTAGTCTCATTTGCCCCCTCAGCTGCCCTGAGCCATCTCTGAGCAGCCCCAGGGGTCCAGGAAGCCTAATCTCATCCAGCTCCCTTTGCATAATGGGAAACTGAGGGCCTCCCACCCGAGGGGAGGGACCTGGCCAGGTTACAGGCCAGAGTGAGAGTAACCGAGGATGGGAGGTGGCCATGTTCCCTGCCTTCATGGCCTGTCCTCTCCAGTTGTTCTTTCAGACCTCAGGGTGCACAGGAGTGAATTCTTAACCCCTTTGGCTGCTTTACATGGTCCTACAGAAGTGAGGGATCTCTGTGGGCAGAGAGAATGCCAGGGGAGAGCCCCTTCCAGACCCAGTGGGGACCAGGACACCTTTCTACTTCATTGGCAAGAAAAACACTAAGATGCCAGGGATCCAAGTACCCAGGCATGCTGTGGCAAGGCCCCGAACATGGGGGTGACTCTGTCTCCTGTCTCCTCTCCATTCCAGGCCCAGCCACTTCCCCGCCCCTCAGCACGACCACCACAGTCCGGCCCACACCCCTCACCAGCACGGCCTCACCTGCAGCCACCACCCCACTCCGCCGGGCACCTCTCACCACACACCCGGTGGGTGCCATCAACCAGCTGGGACCTGACCTGCCTCCAGCCACAGCCCCAGCCCCCAGTACCCGGCGGCCCCCAGCCCCTAATCTGCACGTGTCTCCAGAGCTCTTCTGTGAACCGCGAGAGGTGCGGCGGGTCCAGTGGCCGGCCACCCAGCAGGGCATGCTGGTGGAGAGGCCCTGCCCCAAGGGGACGCGAGGTGAGTGCAGAGGCCTCGGTCACTTCCACTGTGGCTGGTTTGTGGGGTGGCTATTGCTGGTCTGGGCAGGGAAGAGACAGGACATGCCCACCACTCAGCACAGGTGCACTTACCTGTCCATCTCCCCTGCCAGAGCCTGGGTTTTATATGGCAGGGGTACCTGATATCTGCCACTGTGTCCCCAGACTCCAACAGAGCTCCCAGGGCATAGTAGTAGCTCAGTACCCTCCCCCACCCCAAACCCTGTCCCCTCCTGCAGTACTGAGCACCCGCCGCATGAAAAGCACTAGGTAGACCCTGCAGGGAGCCCACAGAGGTGACTTGGGTGTGTCCCAGTCTCAGGCTAAGGCGGACCAGCCCTGGCAACAGCTGATGGCAGGGTAGACGGCAGTTGAAGTGCCAGAGGGGTGAGCCATGACCATGTGCTCCAGGGATCCGAGGGAAGGGTCAGAAGAGGCTTTGTGGAGAGGAGGCTTCCAAGACGGGCTTTGTAAAAGGTTCTATTCCTGTAGGCAAAGATGGAAGGGGAGCCAAGAGGGAGAGCTTGGGAAGTCAGGGGTGACTTATGTCACCTCAGAGTGACACCTCTCTTGACTGTCTGGCCTGCTTCATGTCTGGTCTTCCATGTTCCCCTCACCTACTTGCCCTCTCTGTCATCTCCTTTCCCCCTGCTTTGGCCCCTTTTCTCCTTCCTTGTGGCTCCCTTCTCTGTCCTGTCTGTCTGTCCCTGCAGGAATTGCCTCCTTCCAGTGTCTACCAGCCCTGGGGCTTTGGAACCCCCGGGGCCCTGACCTCAGCAACTGCACCTCCCCCTGGGTCAACCAGGTGGCCCAGAAGGTACCAGTAGCAGCTGCTCCTCTCAGGCACCTGTGCACACTGGGCTCTGGGTGGCTGGGTGCAGGGTGCAGTGGAGCAATGGGACACAGAGGGAGACAAATGGGCGGCAGGTCTGGGAGGCAGGAATGTGGGTCCACTCTCTAGCGTACAGAGTAGGGGAGAGGGCAACCTGGGAGAAGGGGCCGCAGAGAGCAATGAGAAGGGCTGAGCAGGCCGGGCATGTGCAAAGGGACCATGGGGAAGCAAGATGATCCTTGACAGAGCTGGGTCCCCCACTTCTGCCTCATTCAGATCAAGAGCGGGGAGAATGCAGCCAACATTGCCAGTGAGCTGGCCCGCCACACCCGGGGCTCCATTTATGCGGGAGACGTGTCTTCCTCCGTGAAGCTGATGGAACAGCTGCTGGACATCCTGGATGCCCAGCTGCAGGCTCTGCGGCCCATTGAGCGCGAGTCGGCCGGCAAGAACTATAACAAGGTGGGGCCTGGCAGCAGGGCCAATGGGGGGCTCTGTCCTGGAGCCTCAGGAAGGTTCTGGCCTAGTACCTAAGAGCTGGGCTGCCATCCATGATGGTCAGAGGAAGGAAGGACAGAATCCAGGCCTGTTGATCTCCCTCCTGGGATACCTTGGAGGGTCCTGGGGGTTGGGGGATCCCTTAGGAACAACTCTTACTCATGGCCCAGCACCAGGTTGGTGGCAGACACAGAAGAGTGAGAGTGTTGGAATGAGTAGGGCAGGAGGCCAGGCCTGACAGTGCCTCCATCCCTTTCCTTAGATGCACAAGCGGGAGAGAACCTGCAAGGACTACATTAAGGTGAGGCCCAGAGGGCTTCTACTGTCTGAGGCGGGTGGGGCAGGCCCCAGGAGGCACTGGGGGGTGGAGATTGAGTGGAGGGGATACAGAGGCCATCCTGAGGAACTGGAGGATGTGGGGCGACTCATGGCGCCACCCCCAACCTTTCCCCCTCCCCCCAACCCCTCTCCCTGCTCATTTAGGCTGTGGTGGAGACGGTGGACAACCTGCTGCGGCCAGAGGCTCTTGAGTCCTGGAAGGACATGAATGCCACAGAGCAGGTGCATACAGCCACCATGCTCCTGGACGTACTGGAGGAGGGTGCCTTCCTGCTGGCCGACAATGTCAGGGAGCCGGCCCGATTTCTGGCTGCCAAACAGAATGTGGGTGAGTGCTATAGTCTCACCGAGGCAAGTTCAAGTGCAAACCTTGAACTGTGGGGCCCACCTGTTCCAGAGACCACCCTGGCCCTTGACCTTTGGCCCCTGGACTGGGCACAGATTCCAATCCCGTATGCCCTGCCATCCTCTGTCCCACAGTCCTGGAGGTCACGGTTCTGAACACAGAGGGCCAAGTGCAGGAGCTGGTGTTCCCCCAGGAGTACCCGAGCGAAAACTCCATCCAGCTGTCAGCCAACACCATCAAGCAGAACAGCCGCAATGGTCAGTGCCCCTTCTCTTCTCCTTCCTTGTGGCTCCCTGAAGTCCTCTGCTCAAGCTGGGGGAATATAACTCATGGGGTCTCCCAAAGCCCCGGAGGGCCAGGACACTTCAGTCTGCAGGGCTCACTTTGGTGCAGCAGCAGTTGATACTCAGAGCTCAGGGAGGACTGTCCCATTTGAGACTAAGGCACAGGAAGGTTAGGGATTTGCTCAAGATCACACCACAAGTGAGAGGTGCCCAGGGACCCAGCTGCTGTGTGTTCCGGCCTGCTGCCCTGTTGTTTGGCACTGCCTGCAACCGAGCAGTTGTCCCAGGGCAGGGTTCTCTGAGCCCCACTCGCGTGGGCTTCGGCCTGGTAAAGACAGGTCCCAGTGGCCGGAGCTGCACCAGCCAAGGGCTGATGGCAAACCCCACTACACCTGTCCTCCCCAGGGGTGGTCAAAGTTGTCTTCATCCTCTACAACAACCTGGGTCTTTTCCTGTCCACTGAGAACGCCACAGTGAAGCTGGCGAGCGAAACGGGCACGGGCAGCCCAGGGGGCACCTCCCTGGTGGTGAACTCACAGGTCATTGCAGCCTCCATCAATAAGGAGTCCAGTCGTGTCTTCCTCATGGACCCTGTCATCTTTACTGTGGCCCACCTGGAGGTGAGCTGAGGCATCCCCTACCCTCCATGAGGGTCCCAGCATCTTTTGTGTTCCCATGCTGCATATCCTCCCACTGCCTGCTCATCCACCCAGGAGCAAGTCTGCACCCCTCCCTAGGCCATGCACCCCCTCGCAGCCCCCACCTCAACCGCTTAGGTCATTTGTCCCCAGAGATACCAAACTGCCACCTGGAGCTCCAAGCACTTCTCCATGCTTGCTGCTATCCCTGTGGCTGGGTGTGAGGGCTGGAGAGGGACTCCCCAGATCTGACTCCCCGGCCACCACCACACAACAGGCCAAGAACCACTTCAATGCTAACTGCTCCTTCTGGAACTACTCGGAGCGCTCCATGCTGGGCTACTGGTCGACCCAGGGCTGCCGCCTGGTGGAGTCCAACAAGACCCACACCACATGTGCCTGCAGCCACCTCACCAACTTTGCCGTGCTCATGGCTCACCGTGAGATCGTAAGCTGGCTGGCGCTCCGCTGCGCTCTCCTGGCGGGCCCACTCTCTGGCCCAGCTTTGCATGGCATCATAGAGTGAAGCATGGGCAGTGCCAGGGAAGACCAGCTTCATGGGCAGGGGGGCTACCAGTCTTGCCCAGGGGATGAGGCTACACATCTGGTTCTCTCTGGTCATAGTCCCACCTTCTCCCAAGGCCCACTTGAGAAGCAAGTTGGTGTCACCTTTGTCATCTCTCCACATGCCTTCCAGGGCATGAGGAAGTGAGCACGCCACCTGCAGAGCGGTGGGGCCAGCAAGTTGGCCGGGGTAGCGGGGGCAGTAGGCCAGGGGGGTGGGGGCTGCACCAGCAGTACTTGTGGCCTGCAGCCTTGCCCCCAGCTGGCACTTAGCTGAGCCCAGGGTGAGCCCGGCTGTGGGCAGGGGTGCTGAGTGTACCCTCTGCTGTCCCCCAGTACCAGGGCCGCATCAACGAGCTGCTGCTGTCAGTCATCACCTGGGTAGGCATCGTGATCTCCCTGGTCTGCTTGGCCATCTGCATCTCCACCTTCTGCTTCCTGCGGGGACTGCAGACTGACCGCAATACCATCCACAAGAACCTGTGCATCAACCTCTTCTTGGCTGAGCTGCTCTTCCTGGTTGGCATAGACAAGACTCAGTATGAGGTGGGCCAGGCACAAGGTAGGGGGTGGGGGAAGGCAGGAGAGGCCACCTTGGCTGGCAGCCCCTCATTTGTGGTGCCCTCGCCCCCCAGATTGCCTGCCCCATCTTCGCTGGCCTGCTGCACTACTTTTTCCTGGCTGCCTTCTCCTGGCTGTGCCTGGAGGGTGTGCACCTTTATCTGCTGCTGGTAGAGGTGTTTGAGAGCGAGTACTCCCGCACCAAGTACTACTACCTAGGTGGCTACTGCTTCCCAGCCCTGGTGGTAGGCATCGCAGCTGCCATTGACTACCGCAGCTATGGCACCGAGAAGGCGTGAGTGCCTCCCCCTACCCCCATCTCTCCTCTTGCCTGGTTCCCTGCTCAACAGCAGGACCCTTGGGGCACTGGGCTCCTGGGGTCAGAGGGAGGGGCCCCCCTCTGCCTCTATCTACCTGGCCCTGCTTCCTTTATAGTTGCTGGCTCCGAGTGGATAATTATTTCATCTGGAGCTTCATTGGGCCCGTCTCCTTTGTTATTGTGGTAAGCTGGAAGGTGGTACCCCAGTACTGCGTCTCCATCCTTTATCCAGGCTAGCCTTGTCCCCGTGCAATCCCAGTCTCCCCAAGCCCTTGAAAACCATGGGAACTGAACAGCCAACTAAGAGGATGAGAGCACAGCGGGTCTGTAGAGCTCCAGCATTGAGGTTCACCCATCTAGGAGCTGGAATTTGAGCCCCTGCTCTATGGCAGGCTGTGGGCCCCGTCTTTCCAGTAGTGGGAACCCTGTTAACCGACAGTTACACCAGTCAGTGAGCACCTGGGGCAGGTATACCTGTAGAAGAGGCCCGGAAGAAGGAGGTCCAGGCTGAGACTTGGCCAGAAATTCACACCACAGGCAAAGCAACCCCAGCACAGCCCCTCCCCTTGTCCTGCCCCCAGGTGAACCTGGTGTTCCTCATGGTGACCCTGCACAAGATGATCCGGAGCTCATCTGTGCTCAAGCCTGACTCGAGTCGCCTAGACAACATTAAGTGAGCACCCCCTCCCTGCACCCCTGCCACAAAAACTCCACACTGGCCCGGCCTCTCCCAGGACTTTGTAAAATGTAGTGCTGTCACTCTGTTGTCACACAATGTGATTTAAGGACAAAGATGGTGTTTTATTGTGCTCGTTATATATCTACCTAATGTGTATTAAAAAACCTGGCACTAGCACATTCAACCTGTGGTTTGGGGGACATAACTGAATAACTGCTTAGGGCAAGACTGAATTCAAAAGTGAGTCTATTTCAGGGCAAGTTAAAGAGAAATAGGCAGCAAAAGATAATTTAAGGGTCTAGAAATAGGGCCAAAAGGATGAAAGATGCAGGGAATGACTGACCATTCACAAACCCCAACCCCCGACTTCTGCTTGCCCCTCAGGCCCAGGGTAGGTGGAAGTGTCGCTGGGCAGGCCATTATCCTGAGGCCTACTCACTTAGGTGGGTCTTTGCAGAGAGCGTCCAGGCCCAAGGAGGCCAACAGGGGAAGCATCACCACTAGCGGGTCTTTGATGTCCCTGTCTTCCCTCCCCACCCACCCCAGATCCTGGGCCCTGGGGGCCATCGCGCTGCTCTTCCTGCTGGGCCTCACCTGGGCTTTCGGCCTCCTCTTCATCAATAAGGAGTCGGTAGTCATGGCCTATCTCTTTACCACCTTCAACGCCTTCCAGGGGGTCTTCATCTTCGTCTTTCACTGCGCCTTACAGAAGAAGGTGAGGTCAGGGAGGAGGCCCAGGTAGCCTGACTTCTGTAGGGACCCGTGTCTGCTGCAAGGGGAGCATGGGCTCAGCGTCCGGGAGGATTTAGCCAGGGGTGAAGAAGGATCTGGAAAAGAGCAGGATAGAGGACTGGAAGAGCAAGAAAGCAGGGTGGATTTGGGACATGGTGATGGCCTCTTCCCAGGGTGTGGGGCACCAAGCAGGCATGCAAAATGGAGATGATCCTGGGCCCCATCCAGACAAATGTTTCCTACTTAAATAGTTATGAGATGAACTATGAGTTTTGTGGTGATAGAAAGTTTCCTTTTTAAATAAAACATGTTAAAATCTAAATCAGGGGTCCTCAAACTTTTTAAACAGGGGGCCAGTTCACTGTCCCTCGGACCGTTGGAGGGCCGGACTATAGTTTAAAAAAAAACTATGAACAAATTCTTATGCACACTGCACATATCTTATTTTGAAGTAAAAAAACAAAACGGGAACAAATACAATATTTGTATTTGCAGGTGGCCCGCGGGCCGTAGTTTGAGGGCCCCTGATCTAAATCTTAAGAAAGTAAATGAAGGTGATAACAGAAGCAGAGGAATGTGGAGAGGGCATACAGGACTCAAGCCATGGAAACTGAGCCAAGGCATTTGTGTACTTGGTCCTGAAGGCAGTGTGGGGCCCTGTCAGTGTTAGTCTCGGGAGACAGTGAGGTGGGTAAGGCTAAGGTTGGGGATGGAGATACCAATCAGAGTCCTGCAAGTTTGACTGTATCCTTCCTCCTCTTAAAACTGGCAGCCCCCATTGGACACACAGGGACAGTGACATCCTTATAGGAACCTCCAGGCACGCAAGGTCCAACCAGAGCCCCCTCTGTTCCCTTTCTTCCAGCAGTGCCCTCTGCCCTCTCAGACACCTAGACATGGACCGTCCTCATGGCTTGTTCCCTGCTCCTCCCCAGATATCACAGGGCCTGCTGTCTGTTTCTCTCAAGTCTTTGCCGAAATGTCTGCTTCTCAGTGAGGCCTCTCCTGATGATTTGAAATCTGCAAACCACCACCACCCCCCCACACCCCCCAGCACTGCCTAACCCCTCCCCAGCCATAGGTCCTTCGCAGCACCTAACACCATAGACATCCTACATTATGTACTGATGTTTGCATCTATGTTATGTCTCTGTCTACTAAAATAGCAGCTCTGAAAGGTAGGGCTTTATGTCTCATTTGTTCTGATTATCCCCGGAGCCTAAACAGTGCCTGACACATAGAGGATATGCATTAAAGAGCTGTTGAGTCATTGAATGGATAAGAAACTGGTGGAGGTGAAGAACGGAAGATGGGCCTGAGCAAGGAAAGAGAGTCTACCTGGCTGGCTGCTGGGGGACAGAACAGGTTTCTGGTGCCTGCTTGTAGCTTGGTCTCTGGACTCCTCTGAGTGGGGGCGCCTGCGACCAGCTGCCTGTTCTCCTCGCCCCCCAGGTGCACAAGGAGTACAGCAAGTGCCTGCGACACTCCTACTGCTGCATCCGCTCCCCGCCCGGGGGGGCTCATGGCTCGCTTAAGACCTCAGCCATGCGGAGCAACACCCGCTACTACACAGGGACCCAGGTATCTGAGCTGGGGCGGGCACTAGGCAGGCTCCCTGGGCTGAGTGTTAGACCCAGGAGCCCAGAGGCAGGGCAGTGCTTTGCCCAGGTCCTTGGTGGTGTTCATCAGGCGAGTGGTCTCAGAAAGTTTCTGGAGGGTGGGCAGCTTGAGGGTCCCCTTATGTCTGGGCTGTGTCCCCAGAGCCGAATCCGGAGGATGTGGAATGACACCGTGAGGAAACAGACAGAATCTTCCTTCATGGCGGGTGACATCAACAGTACCCCTACCCTGAACCGAGGTGAGACAGCATCCCTCGCCCCTGGCTCCAGTCCCTTGAGATTCCTGGCCTGTGTCTCCAAGCCGCCCTGTTACTTCTGACCTCCTGGGCAGGTACCATGGGGAACCACCTGCTGACCAACCCCGTGCTTCAGCCTCGTGGCGGCACCAGCCCCTACAACACCCTCATCGCCGAGTCAGTGGGCTTCAATCCCTCCTCACCCCCTGTCTTCAACTCCCCAGGTAAGAATACTCTAGTTCTGGGAGAGGGCAACAGCCCAGGTCAGGGAGTGTGGGGTCTGCATCCTGAGGGGTTTTCACTTGGGGTGCCCTCATGCCTCCTGAACTGAGCCTGGACTCAGCATTCCAAGCCCATTCACCTTCTTTCTTTTCCCTCCTGGCCTGGCACCTGCAGGGAGCTACCGGGAACCCAGTAAGTGAGACTTTCCTGGTAACATTTCCGAGGCTGGGAGGGGAACGAGACAGTGGCCTCCTTGGATGGCCTCACTTATTTAGGGAGGAGAACTCATAGAGTGCGTCCCCGTCTCGCCCCAACACACACGCACAAGCATATGCATGCAGTCTCTGGTTTGGCAGCTGGTTGGTGGTGTATTTGGGCTTCAGGTGGGGAATGAAGATGAGGGTCAAGCACAAGTTTCCCTCCCAGCCAGGGGCTCAGAATCTTAGCAGTGTGAGACTTCCTCATCCCAGTCTTCTCACACCACTAAGATTCTGAGTCCCTGGCTGGGAGGGAAACCTGGGAAAACTGGTCTCCACCCCCTCTTCCACCAACCTGCATGATGGGTGGCCCCACTGCCAATGAGGAAAAGAGGGAATGGAAGACCCCAGTCCCCAGGGGCAGGGGTAAAACCAGGCAGCCCCACCTCACATGGCCTGGATCCTTCCCAATGCCTGCCCCTCCCCCTGAGCAGCCCCCTTCTGCCTGCAGAGCACCCCTTGGGAGGCCGGGAAGCCTGCGGCATGGACACACTGCCCCTCAACGGCAACTTCAACAACAGTTACTCCTTGCGAAGTGGGGATTTCCCTCCCGGGGATGGGGCACCTGAGCCACCCCGAGGCCGGAACCTGGCAGATGCTGCCGCCTTTGAGAAGATGATCATCTCAGAGCTGGTGCACAACAACCTGCGGGGTGGCAGCAGCGGGGCCAAAGGCCCTCCACCACCTGAGCCCCCGGTGCCACCTGTGCCGGGGGGTGGCAGTGAGGAAGAGGCTGGTGGGCCCGGGGGTGCTGACCGGGCGGAGATTGAACTTCTCTACAAGGCCCTGGAGGAGCCACTGCTGCTGCCCCGGGCCCAGTCGGTGCTGTACCAGAGCGATCTGGACGAGTCAGAGAGCTGCACAGCAGAGGACGGGGCCACCAGCCGGCCCCTCTCCTCCCCTCCGGGCCGGGACTCCCTCTATGCCAGTGGGGCCAACCTTCGGGACTCGCCCTCCTACCCGGACAGCAGCCCTGAGGGGCCCAGTGAGGCCCTGCCCCCACCCCCGCCCGCGCCCCCTGTCCCCCCTGAAATCTATTACACCTCGCGCCCACCAGCCTTGGTGGCCCGAAACCCCCTGCAGGGCTACTACCAGGTGCGGCGGCCCAGCCACGAAGGCTATTTGGCAGCCCCAGGCCTTGAGGGGCCAGGGCCTGATGGGGATGGGCAGATGCAGCTGGTCACCAGCCTCTGAGGGACCTCATGGACCGGGGGCTGGTAGCCCAGGCCAGGGAGGGAACCCTGAGTAGGGCTCTGAGGGGATAGGGAGACTGAAGGAGGCAGTGGCTGGTGGGCCACTCTCCAGGCATCCCTGGTCTGAGGGCCCTCGAGGCCTCTTGGGGGCCCTGCTGTGGGGACCTGAGGTGCAGGGTTCACAGATAGGGTTTCCCACCAGCCACACGCACCAGCTTACTTTGGGGGAAGTGCCATGAGGAGGAACCCAGAGGTCCCAAGGGGAATAAGGAAGGAGAAATTGGAAGGGTACATCTCACTCTTGACTTCCCCCTCCCCGCTGCTCTTCCTATCTGCTGGAGAGAAATGAGGGCTTTGGTGTCCCTGGACCAAAGGCCTTGCTAGATGGAACTTATCAATCTGCACCTCTTTCTGTAGTCAGAAATGCTGGGCTGCACCAGGAGGGAGCAATGGGGGCAGAAGGACAGATGGACAGGTTCCTCCTGCACTACAGTTCCCTGCTCCCTAGAGACTGGGGCCTCTGGCCCAGGAGATAAGCCCCAGGGCAAGAGGAATGGGCATTTGTGGCTGGTGGTGTAAAGGTTGAATTTTCTCTGAAGCTCCTTCCCTCTGCTCTTAGTCCCTGCCTCCCCAGCAAACCTGTCCCCTTTGCCCTCCTCAAGTGCACCCACTGACCCCCTCCCTTGGGGTGACTCCTGATGAAGCACAACTCCCTGAAGGGCCCCCAGCCCACAGGGGTGGCCATATTTGGGCAGTTCCAATCCTGTGGGCTTGGCTATCTGGGGAGCAGATTTTGGGTCTGGATCTCCCTGGGGAGTGGGTCCTGGGTTTGGATCTTTCCCTAGGGGCCCTCTTTCCCTTCCTCTTTCCTCCTCTCCCACTGCTGTAAATATTTCAAAGAAATGGAAAAGACAAAAAAAAAAGAAAGAAAATCTCATCACTTGAAGCCACCAGGAGCCTGCGGCCCAGCCGGCCCGGGCTTTCTCCGGAGCAGAGCTATACCGCTGGGCCTTGCAGCCTGGACTTCTCCGTGTACGTGTGCATCCCCAGCCAGGTGGGCGGCCACCAGAGCAGCTTTTTACAATCCAGAGACAGAAAAAAATCTAGAAGCAACAGCGAAACAAAGAACCTGTTTCCTTCCAGGCACCTATTTCTGTTGCCTCCCTCCCTGCTCCGCCTGACCCTGGCATCAGTCAGCCCTCCTGGGGCGTGTACCTCACTGCCTGCCCCAGGACCGGGGACCTGTCTACCCCTTCCCTCCCCACTGGCCCAGGGGAGGCACCCCTCACACCCAAAGATGCTTTTGCCAAGATGGCTGTGCTGTCCCTTTGAGTTCCTGCCTCTTGTACATTGCTTCTGGAACTCTGGGCTGGGGATGAGCGGCTGATTTCCTGCCTAGAGAGGTTGATGGGGGAGGAAAATGAGGACAGCAGGGTTTGATGTGACTGAGGAGGGAGGACCAGGAATGATGAGGTGGTCTTGTTTGGGTGGGAGTGGGGGTGGTATAGGGTGCAAAGGTGAAATATCACCTTCCCTACCCTACACCCTCCAACAGAGGAGGCAAAGCAAGATACCAGGGCCTCCAGTCAGGACACCCATGTTCTGGGGGCTCAACCCTAAACCTGTAGGCCCTAAAGAAGTGTCAGGCTTGGAATGTCTCCTGAGTACCTCTTCTGGTCCCCTCTCTAGCCTGTCACCCTGGCCCTCCAGAACACACACATACACACACACTCTGGGGGTAGCATAGTCCCATTGCCACACTAACACAGCCCCATAATTGCCATTTCCTCAGGGGTGGCTCTCCACCTCTGCTCTGACCCCCTCCTTGTCTTTTTTGCCCCTTCCTCTTTTCTCACAAGTGCCATGAGTTTTCAAACATCTTTGGGTCTCAGTCTGCTGCTACCATGAACTTTTTGGGTTAAAGGGGAAGGGCTCTAGGGAGAAACTAGAGAAAAGGGACAGGTAGGTGGCTGGAGGGGCCCTTTTTGCTGCTAGAAAGCCCCTCCCTTCTGGGGAGCTGAGGCTGGCTTGTCCCCGTCAGGGGAGAAGGGGTCAGACCAAAGATGGTGGTTTGTCCTGTGTGGGAGTACATGTGTGGGGAGAAGGCAGTGTTGGGTTCCATCTCTAGCTTCTCCTGGCAGGGAGGCTTAACCCTGTTCACCAGAAGACCATGGGTGAGTCTGGACCCAGAGAAGTAAGAGTGGGGATGATCTCGTCCAGATGGCTCTGTGAGGAGGATGGGAACCAGCTATGTGACCTGCCTTGGTTTCAAGAGGGGCAATTAGAGGTCTGCAAAGAGCTGGCAGGAGACACAGGTAAATGGAGGAGTTGGCCTGACACCAAGAGGACTTGAAAAGTTAGCAGGGTGGGAGAGTTTCCAGGGGAACTGGAGGCATGCAAGGAGTCCTCCATCCTCTCCCTGCCCAGCCCTCCTTTTATCTCCAGACACGGACAATCAAGGGGAGAGAGGGTAAGTGGGTCCCTTGGTTCCCATTCCAGCCAGGTTCACCAAGGTGAATTCCTAGGCCTCAAAGCTGTGTGGCAGGGCCCCCTGGTGGGGCTGAACACCACTGCAGCACAGTGCAAAACACCACCCAGAGCCCAGGTGTCCATCCCCGCACCCCAACCAGACCTGGTGCCTTGACTCCCCCCACCCCAGCTGGGACAGTATAGAGAAGAAAGGGTCTTGGTTTCCTCTCCTATTTCCTTCCTTGATTCATTTGCTTCTCAATCTTGTTAATTTTTATCTGGGGTGGTTTTGTTTTGTGGGTGTGTTTTTTTTGTTTCCCTTGCCTTCCTTACTGTGTTTCCACCTCTTTGCATTTTTTTTTTGCTGTCTCTATGTTCCTCTTCTCTCAATTTCTCTGTCCATTCGGGCCTCCCCTCCTCCATGCCCCCAGTCCCTCCTTGGTCTCCTTTTCGATATGCCAAACCAATTTTGGGTCGAGTGCATTTAACGAGAACAAAACAAAAGGCTCATAACAACAAGAACGTTTCAGAAAAAAAGTTTTAAAAAATTGTTGAGTCAAAAAAACAATAAAGAAAATAAGAATTTCTTGGAATGATGAGTGGTGTGACTCATTGAGGGGTGAAAACTGGTGAGTGAATCTGCACTGAGCACCCACCTGAGGCTCTGACACTGAAGAGCCTGCACTGTAACATTTAGAACCCATGGCAGAGGCCTGGAGTCACAGAACCAGAACCTACTCAAAACTTGGTAGGTTCTTGGGCCTGGCTGAGCAGCAATTCGGGTACAGTTTTTCGTTGAACACTCTAGGGTGGGTAAAGGTTATTAAAACTCCACTTTAAAGACAGGGAAACTGAGGCTTACAATATCTGCGTGCACACCCTAGTCTCTGGGCCAGGCAACTGTGCCATGTGTCTAGAGAAGCCCTTCCTGGCCCGGACATACTAATATGTCCACAGGCTTTATTAGAGCAAAACGGAATTTTACACTGTGCCTGTCTGATTCCTAGACCTCCCCCTCCCACACACTACTGAAATGGCGCTTTTTCTAAAATGACAACACAATGGATTTGCAGCATGTGTATTCTCAAATAGAAATGCCAGTGCATAGAGAAAGGACCACTCAAACAGTGAAAGTATCTCCATGCTCCTCTGCCCTCAACACCACACTTCCCCGTTTCTCCTCCCATCTCCCCAGCCACTCCTTCCCAGTCCTGGTGGCTGGTGCCTTCTCATCTCTTGACCGCTTAATGTTGGCAAGGCCAGGAGCTCAGCCTTAGACCTTTTCCCTACCTACCTTGGGAGAGCTTGTCCCATCTCATGGTTTTAAATGCTATCTATATGCTGAGGAGTCCTGAACATAGAGCTCTAGTCTAAACTACCTCGAGCTCCAGATTTACATTCATCCAACATCCCAATCCACATCTACCCCTGGGTGTCTGTTAGGATCTCAAACTTAATCTGTCCTAAACCAGATTAAGTTCCTGACCACCACTCCCCAGCTCCTCCCAAATGCTTTCCCACTTCAATGGCAAGTCCATCCCAAGACTCAAGCTAAAACTCTTGCAGCTTCTCTTGAACTCATCTCTTTGTTTCATACTCCACATCTATTCTGACAGTAAATGCATCAGCAGCTCTAACATTAAAATATCCAGCATTAACTAGTTCTCACCACTTTGGTTCAAGCCAACCCTGTCTTTCACTAGGACTACTGCAGCAGGCTCCTTACTAGCTCTCTTGTCCCCCTTCAGGCTTTTCTCAACACAGAAACCACAGAGATCTTGGTAAGCATATTTTGTCCTTCCTTGGTTCAAAACTATTCAATGGCCTCTTCTCTCACCCAGACGAAAGACCAACAGCACAATTGCTGACAAGGCCCTACAGAGCTCATTCCCATGGCTCCCCTCCTTCCTTCCACGCCAGCCACACTTGGCTTCTCATCTGCAAACATGCAGGCACTCCTGCCTGCCTCAGGGCCTTTGCACTGGCTGTTCTAGCAGAGCTTTTGCAAATCAGAGCTTCCCAGCAGGCTTTTCCATTTAAACTGCTATTGGCCATTCCAGAATTTCCTAAACCTGGTCTTGCTTTATCTCTCATAGTTCTCCCATCTCACAAAACTATCCTTCTTGCTTGTTTACTCTCTGCCTCCCCAATTAGAAGGTAATATGGAATGGTGTTTTTTTAATGCTGTTCCAGTTTCTAGCATAGCATCTGGCACACAGGTGATCAATACATATTTGTTAAATAATAAAAAGCTGACTTGAACATAAGAACCAGAGTGAACCTGAGATGAGAGCTAAGAATGATGGGAGTTGTGAATGGGAGTTTCTATCTCTCAGTTCCCACACCTCTCTCACCATGTGATACTAAGTTTTTAATTCAACATGGCCCTGAAACCTAACTTCAATATTTTAGCGGTGTCCAACCCAAGAAAAGGCAAAATCTGTTCCTATGCTGGAAAAGGAACTGATTCTACTGGATCTACTGAGAGAGTCCCTGTGAGCCAATTCAGGAGCTTTATGGGTAATTAATAAACTATATATGGTTTTGACCTCATGGTCTGATTTTGAAATAAAATCCTGGCCTAAGATAACAACACGGCCTGTTCTTCTGCCATTGTGTCCTTTACTTTCTCCAGCCCTACACATGCTTACCCACTACATAAACAGAAGAAATCTGCTGGGCTGGACAACTGATGACCCTCAGGTAGTTGTTAGTGGCATGGATTTGCACATACATAGGAATAACTTTTATATTGAGATTTATCATTTCAAAGCTCTTTTCTACATTTCACCTTACTTATTACAAGGTATATATTATTATCCTTATTGATCAGATGAGAAAACTGAGGTTAAAGTGATTACATGACTTACTTAAATAAGATTACTAAGCAAGTTTACAGTGCACCCTCTAGACCAGCGGTTCTCAACCTTGGCTGCACATTAGAATCACCTGGGAATCTTTTTAAAATCCTGATTTCTGGGCCTCATCCTCAGGAAATTCTGTTTCTTTGTTACTAATGTTGTGGCCCCACTCTATAACAAAGAAACAGAATTTCTGGAGGATGAGGCCCAGAAATCAGGATTTTAAAAAGATTCCCAGGTGATTCTAATGTGCAGCCAAGGTTGAGAACGACTGCTCTAGATACTTTACATATGCTATCCAATTTAATGTTTTCAATGCCCCAGTGAGGCAGGTGTTACTTAGCCCCATTTATAGCTGCAGAAACTGAAGCCCAGAAAAGTTAGAGAATATCCCCACAATAGTTAGAGAATATACCCACACTCACTCAGCTAATAAACAGTGCTGCACCAGGCCTCCATCTTGGTCTTCAGATCCCAGGGCTGCCTCTAGGGCTATGTGCATGCAGCTGCAGTTGCCCACTTCTCATCACTGCCCACCAACCCCACTTGGCACACAATAAAGGAGGCTGACAATCTGGCTCCCAGAGTCAGAGGAAATGCCCACTGACTACACCTGATGGTCTCTATGTAGCTAGTAGTAGGACTGTCCAGGGTGGACCCCCGGGAATCAAGCCAAAGGGAAGGCCTTAATTCAGAGCAACAGAAGAGTCTTTTCAGATCCCCAAAGGACTGAGAGCACTGGAGCCTCTGGCCTTGAGAAACCTCCTCTCTCACACAAACTCTTGGGAAAGCCTTGGGGAGCTGGGCTGAGGATGGACCTCTATCCCCACAACATTTCAAGCTTAGTCGGGTCCTCTCTTACCCTTTCAAACATGGCAGTCATGGAAACCAGCAGTGATGACAGGCACCTGCTGGCTTTTCCCTTCCTATTTATATCAATCACTTTTCACTTAATCTGGACTCTCCTTGACCAAAACCCTAATAACTGCTAGTCTTTTCTATCTGTCCTGTCCTACTGTCTTCCACCAGCCTCTGCCTCTGACCAAACAATCCCCGTTTCTCACAACTGAAGTCCTCACTTTAAGCCAGTAGTTCTCAACCTTCTGGCCATTTAAATATAGTTCCTCATGTTGTGACCCAACCATAAAATTATTTTCGTTGCTACTTCATAACTGTAATGTTGCTACTGTTATGAATCGTAATATAAATATCTGATACACAGGATGGTCTTAGGCAACCCCTGTGAAAGGGTCATTTGACCGCCAAAGGGGTCACAACCCACAGGTTGAGAACCGCTGCTTAAGCCAACCAGTCCTCTCCTGGGAATCAATCCTAAGGAATCACACATGGGCATGAAGACTCAGCAGCAAGAAGATTCACTGGAGTCAGGCTTTTAAGAGTGAAACATAAGGAATAATCTAAAATTTCAGTATAAAAATAGTTACATAAATGATGTACATCAATACAAACAGAATAAATAAATAAATAATACAAACAGAATACCATGTAACAATTAAAAATGAGGATGTAGCCCTACCCAGTTTGGCTCAGTGGTAAGACTGTTGGCCTGCAGACTAAAGGGTCTCGGGTCCAATTCTGGTCAAGGGCATGTAACCTCAGTTGCAGGCTCGATCCCCGGCCCTGGAAAGGTGCATGTTCAGGAGGCAGCCAAGTGTCTCTCTCATGTCTCTCCCCTCCTTTCTATTCTCTCTAGAAATCAATGGAAAGATACCCTCGGGTGAGGGTTAACAAAACAAAACAAAAGATGTAAAAGAACATTAAATGACATGGAAATATATTCATAATACTAAGTGTAAAAAGGATATAAAAGACTGCCCCAGTTTAAAAAACATATATGCAAAAAGTGTGTATACATATATAAAATTGTGTGTGCACAATATATGCAGAATATAAAGTTATACAATGAGAGATTAACAGTTTACCAGTAGTGGATAAATTTTTAAAATACATTTTTATTGATTTTTATAATGTATTTTTATTGATTTCAGAGAGGAAAAGAGAAGGAGAGGGAGAGGGAGAGGGAGAGAGAGAATCATTGATCAGCTGCCTCCTGCACAGCCCACACACTGGAGATGAAGCCGGCAACCTGGGCATATGCCCTGACCAGGGATGGAACTGTGACCAGCCAGGCGTGACTTTTAGAGACAGAGGAAAGGAGAGGGAGAGAGAGAGAGAGATAGAAACATCAATGTGAGCCCAACTGGTCTGGCTCAGCAGTTGAGTACTGACCCAGGTTGCAGACTCAATCACCAAGAGGGGGCGTGCAGGAGGCAGCCAGCCGATCGATGATGCTCCTCTCTCATCAATGTTTCTATCTCTCTAACCCTCTCCTTTCCTCTCTCTAAAAATCATTAAAAAAAAAAAGAAAGAAAGAAAGTGGTGAACCCTAGTTGGTTTGGCTCAATGGATAGAGCATCAGCTTGTGGACTGAACAATCCCAGGTTTAATTCTGGTCAAGAGCTTGGTTGTAGGCTCCTCCCCTGCCCAGGCCCCAGTTGGGCTCGTGCAGGAGGCAACCAACTGATGTGTTTCTCTCACATGGATGTTTCTCTCTGTCTTTCCCTTTCTCTTCCACTCTCTCTAAAAATCAATGGAGAATTAAAAAAAAAAAAAAAGTGGTGAGTACTTAAAAAAAAATCAATGAGAAACATCAACAGGGATCAGCTGCATATGTCGACCTCCTGCATAGGTCAACGCTCAACCACTGACCA